CACCAAAGCTTTTAGTCCTGGGGTAGCATGTGGTGGGAACAGAGCAAGAGACTGCTGGGTTAGGTGTTCCTCCATGGTGGGGGCACACTGGTGGCACACAGGTCTGTCAGCAGCCCTAGAGCCTGCAGACAAATTCTCCCATGGGTGTGAGAAGGTGGGGAGGAAACCCTCCCCTGCACTTGCACCACCCAGTGGGCAGTTTCCTTTCCTGTCCTCATGTTCCTTATCAAAAGGGTGCTCCCAGTTCTGGTGGTAGAGGTAACATTTCCATTCTGCACCTGCACGTGCTCTCGGATCCTTGTGTAGAAGTCACGTGGTAGCACATCCACGGGCATGTTTCTCTATCCCTGCCCACATGCCACCTCACACCTGCTTTCCTGGGACACTCGCACTTGCCCAGGGGCCTCCATGGCTTCAAGGATGCTAGAAGGCTGTGGGAAGGGCTGCTAGGCTGCAGCACACCTGCTCTCATGGCTCGCTGACCTGGCTTCAGGTGCCCAAGCCCAGGACAGAGCCTGGGGCAGCAGGGCAGGGGGCTACTGGTCCTCTCAGATCCCGGTGTTCTGGCTGCACAGTACAGCCCTGCCCAAGACCCCGGCCATACCCCCCATCCCATAACCTTCTCTCAGGCCTCCAGAGGCCCCTCCCTGCGGGTCTTTTTGGGGTACAGCGCCAATCCTGGTGGGTTCCCTCTGCCTGCACCACCACGTTGTTCTTCTCACACAGACTAGGGGTATGTTGACAAGTTCCTTTACCTCTAATCTTGTGTTTCATTTTCAGAAAGTGTTTGGAGTTGTGACGTTTAAATGTCCATCAAGAACCTAGGGTCATTCCAGACACAAGACAGTCACTAGATATGTGGGGTCTCCCACAGGCCCAGCATACCCCGCAGGCACTCCCCATGTAGGATGAACTGGAGAAGGTGGGGTGCATCGCCAGCTTCCTCCAGTGTGACCTCATTCTACGGCAATATGGCCTGTGGAGGCTGACAAGGAGCAAGGAAATGGGCGGTAATCAGCAGAGGTGGGGAAGGAAGGCAGCAGGGGAGGGAAGAAGGGTGGGAGGCCACTTCAGGCCCAGAGACTCAGGGACACAGTGACAGCCTCGTGGGGGACAGGGGAACACGGCCATCCCTCATGGTCCCTTATGGAATCTGAGGGCTGGGACTGGCCTGGAGATCAGAGACCTACTCCACATGGCAGGGGCGAGGCGACTGAAGCCCGGCAGGGATGCAGAGCTGGGGACGGAGCTCAGCCTGGGGTCGGGCCTCACCCTCTCGTGAGCTGTGAGGCCCGGTTTCTCTCCTCTGGCCTGACTCTGCCTTTTCCTTCCCAAGGCCTTCCTGTCATTACCGTGCGACATTATTTTGAGTATGTGGAAGACTCTGATGAATAGATCGACAATCTGCTTGTAATTTCTCTCTTCTTTTGTGATGCTCTTCCTGAAGGACCTGGTCTCATCAAGGCAGATGAGGTCCTTGGGTCATCAATGTCTATAAAATCTCTCCAGCCCTGATCACGCATTTTCTTAGCATTGACCTTGTTTCTGACCACCAGTCTACAGTGAGACACTAAAATTACAAATGATCCATAGGCATCACATGTAAAGATAGGTCCCTCGATCAGCAGCAATCGATCGAAGAACCAACCCAGTATCAACAGTTTTCAGCCCAGAAGGTAGGCCTACCCCTTGTACGTTAGGCTTGTAGGAAGTCTGACCATAGTATCTAGGAACCAGCTCAGGACTTTAAATAACCCTTGTAACAGTTGTCCCAAAATGGCTGTATTTATAACAGAGCTTCCATGTCGGTCTCCTTTCCCAACTTACTACCAATAAGAGAAACCCAAATATATACCGCCTGACAACAACAGAGGATGCCCTACACCTGGACTGCTCACTACAGCTTCCCCCCGCCGATGGCCTCTAATCAGAGCAGAGGTGAGGCCTTCCCATTCCCCACAATGACAGTTTCCCACTCCTCTGCCTGATTCTGAGTCTCTGCCGCAATCCAAGTAATGGCAGTTGACTTCCTTGCTCCAACAAGGTCTGAATAAATATCCTTTGCTTATTCTCACTTGGTTGGCCTTTATTTACTGACAGTTCATCATGGAGTCCTCTCAAGACCCAGCGTGAGCTGCCCATTGCTGCAGACCCCAGCCCTCAGGCGAATGTGTCCCCACCAAGGCCCCCCGTGCCTTGCAGCTGGCAGCTTTCCGAGGCTGGGTTGATGTGGTAAGTTACCACTGGACAGTCAACTGTGCTCTGTGTGTGAGTTTTCAGGCTGTTTTTTCTCAGTTTGGGATCTGGGCTTTGTTTTTGGTCTCCAGGTGTTTGACCTCCTTGGTGTGATCCGGACATTCTTTCAGCTGTCTTTGGTGTTACAGCTTTGTGTTGTGCTGGGCAAAGGTGTGTCATGATGAGAATCAGAGGGTAGAATGAGGAATGGGCCTTATGAGTCTTGTTTGAGCTGGCCTCTGGGACCAGTGAGTTTGACTGACATCTACCTGGATGAACTTGGCTGAAGGCCACCGATCAAACCATCTGTCCAGGTCTTCTCCCATCTAGATCCTGTATCCTGAGAGAGAATTCTATCTGGTTTTCACTGACTGAGGAGATTGTAGAGTCTGTGTTCAGAGGCAGCCAACTGTCATTTTGGGGCCCCAAGACATGAGGTGCATAAATGTTACATTTCTACCAACCATCCCCAGCTCTCTTGGGGTTATCTAAACCTAAGTCCTCTCCTCTGGCAGGAAAAATCCCTACTTCTCCCATGTATGCACTGCAGTCCTAATTCTTGTGCCCTTTGTAAATGGCACCTTCACCAAGGATGATTTGGATCTTCAGTGCCAACTCTGGAGAATGCTTGATTTTGTCAAAATGTTCGTTTGAGAGGTACCTTGGAAAAGTAGAGAAATAAGATTGCATGTGTCCAATGAGCAGCACATTTTTTATTGATATGCTGGGGTCTCCAAAAGAAATTGTTTTTCTTTTTCTCCATCAGTTTATTTTATTTATTTAAAAAATTTGACTTGATTCTCTTTTGTGCAAAAAAGAATATGACTCAAAAATTGTTTCCTTAACAGATTGGCCACAGCAAATGAACAATTTGACAAACTTAAGCATGGATAAACTAGACTCATTTCCCCAGTGAACCCGCCTCTCTTGTCCTTCAGTTGTGTCCCTCTACCCACTTCTCCTTATTACCTTTATTCTTCTCATGCCCCTCCTTCTGCACCTCCTCCCTCCTCTTCCCCTTGTCCAAGTCCCTTACTTTTTCCCAAAAATTCTCCTATAACATCAAAGTGTCATTTGCATCCAAGCATCCCTCCCTTGCATCACTAGCAATGCAGGCAAATGTAGAATTTAATGCTTGAAACTGAGCTTAATTAAGGGTTATAAATAATTAAAGGTTTCTTTCATTTTAGGAGACTTCAACACACCACTAACTCCAAAGGACAGATCACCCAGGCAGAAAATAAGTAAGGAGACGGAGGCACTGAACAACACAGTAGAACAGATGGACCTAACGGACATCTACAGAACACTCCACCCAAAAGCAGCAGGATACACATTCTTCTCAAGTGCACATGGAACACTTCCCAGAATAGATCACATACTAGGCCACTAAAAGAGCCTCAGCAAATTCAGATTGATTCAAATTGTACCAACCAACTTCTCAGATCACAAAGGTATGAAATTAGAACTAAATTGTATGAAGAAAACAAAATGGCTCACAAACACATGGAAGCTTAACAAACATGCTTCTAAATAATCAATGGATCAATGACCAAATTAAGACAGAGATCAAGCAATATATGGAAACAAATGAAAACAACAGCTCAATGCCCCAACTTCTGTGCGATGCAGTGAAGGCAGTTCTAAGAGGAAAGTATATAGCAATTCCAGCCTGTTTAAAGAAGGAAGAACAATCCCAAATAAACTGTCTAAATTCACAATTATTGAAACTGGAAAAAGAAGAACAAATGAGGCCCGAACTCAATAGAAAGAGTGACATCAGAGAAGAAATAAATAAAATTGAGAATAATAAAACAATAGAAAGATTTAATGAAAGCAAGAGCTGGTTCTTTGAGAAGATAAACAAAATAGATAAACCCCTAGCCAGACTTATCAAGAAAAAAAGAGAATCTACACACATAAACAGAATCAGAAATGAGAAAGGAAAAATCACTATGGACACCACTGAAATACAAAGAATTACTACAGAATACTATGAAAATCTATATGCTAACAAGTTGGATAACCTAGAAGAAATGGACAACTTTCTAGAAAAATACAACCTTCCAAGACTGACCCAGGAAGAAACAGAAAAACTGAACAGACCAATTACCACCAATGAAATTGAATTGAAATAAAAAAACTACCTAAGAACAAAAGCCCAAGAACAGATGGCTTCACTACTGAATTTTACCAGAAGACAGCATACCCATTCTCCTTAAAGTTTTCCAAAAAATGGAGGAGAAGGGGATACTTCCAAACTCATTCTACAAAGCCAGCATCACTCCACTACCAAAACCAGGCAAAGACAACACAAAAACAGAAAACTACAGACCAATATCCCTGATCAACATAGATGCAAATATACTCAACGAAATATGAGCAAACCGTATTGAAAAATAGGTCAGGAGGATCATACACCATGATCAAGTGGGATTCATCTCAGGGATGCAAGGAGAAACCTGGACTGGATCACTGACGGAAGAACCAAGCGGCACTCGGAGGTCTTGGAGTGTTGAGGTTTATTTTACACCGGCGGGCTCAGAGGGAAGTAATCTCCCAAGGTCTGAGCCCTGAGCACAAGCAAGGGGAACAATTTATATTATTTTGATATGTGCAATTTTGGCATGTGCAGGGCAAAAGAGGAGCCTGGGGAGGGGAGTAGGGAGCTGGGAGTGCTTTGCCAACTGGAGGAAAAAAGTGGTTTCCTGACCTTCTTGGCTGTGTTGAATATTTTCCTTATCAAATGTAGTAACCACCTTGTTTTTCATGTGAAACCTTCATAAGAGTGTATATCAATACCTTAATTAAAAATTGTAATAAAGTAAATGCAAGTTGTTATGCCAGCAGTTATTACAGCACTGGGAATTTGGTACCTGCTGGGTAACTGAATGAATCTATGAGTCACCTACACTGAGGCATTCAGGTGATAGCTGAAATCAGAAAGAAATGAGCTCTTCCAGGGGGAGAAGGCAGAGAACAGCTTCAGACTGAAATCTGGAGGAGACAACCATGTGTCCTAATGCACAGGTACCTACATGGTGTTCAACCGGGAAGTGACTGTTCTCATCACCTGCAGCTGAAACAAATGTTTCCTCCAGGACTTGAGTGACTCTCAGATTTTGGTTCTAACTCTTTAAAACTGTTTCTTCCACTTGATATCAAAGCCCATTGAAGTTGGGTTACAAACATTAACTGCTTTTGTCTGCTAAAGTTTAATGATGTTTCTGATAAGCACAGTTCTGATTAATTGCTGTCGAAACTCCTGAGCTGAATGTCAAACCTGGGAAATTAACTCTTAAATGGACTTAAGAGACAAAAGGCCATATATCCTTGAACATAATCCATATCTAAGAGACTGCAAAAGAAAACACAAGAGCCAGTATTAAATGCATGATGACATGACTGATCCTTGTTCCGTTTGGAAAAAACTACAAAAGCTCATCATTCTCTAGGAGACTTTCCTTTCATGTTAATCTGCCTGAACTATGAAAAATAGTCTGAAACATAACTTTTGACTGCACTCATTGAACATTTGTCATCCTCCAAAATTTTTCATTTGTAAATATTGATGTTAAGTCATATTAAAAGAACGAAATAAAAAGAAAATCCAGTACATTAAAAAAAAAAAACTAAAGTAAACATTAAAAGCCAGATAGCCAAATTCTTCCATCAGGAACTGTGCCGCAGTCCAGCTGATCAAATGGCTAAAAAAAAAATCGCGTCATTTGTATCCAATAATAGTGAAGAAAATGGAGTTCTGGTTGCTGGAATTGACTGAAAAGGTCATGCTGTTGGTGACCTTCCTGGACCTCGTTTTAAGGTTGCCATAGTAGCCAGTGTCTCTCTTTTGGCCTTATACAGGAGAGACCAATATCATAAGTTTTCATGGTGAAAACAAGAGTAGTAATAAATTTTCATATTCTGAAAAAAAAATTGCTAAACAATATGTTTTTTTCATGTGTGGATAAATTGACCAGCTCAATCACTAAAGCCACCCCTCATCCTGTCCTTGTGCCTACCAAGGATGATTTTGCAGACAGGGAGACAGATGCATAAATAAAAAATGTGGCATGCCCCCCTCTGGCCACAACATACTGTGCGGGTGTGGCGTGGAGCAAATAGCACCTGCCAACACCCTCCAAGTGGGATTTCTTGAAAAGAATTCTAGGGAAATAAATTTGGAAAACACGGCATATTATAACTTTACCTTCCCCCACCGTGTACCAATCACAGTTAATGTTAAAAACTTAAGCTTGGTTTACCAGATATGATCTTATCAACTGTTTCAAGATTCCTGTTTCTTGCCTAATTTCCTTTGCAGAAGCTAATTTAGAACTTGGTTATAGAAGTACAAAAATCCCTATCACATTTTCATTCATGCAACTGATGTCACTCAAACTATGCTTTATATCATGCTTCATACAGCACTGGCTCACTGAACTGGAAATTTTAACAATGGTCTTTGCTGCTGCCACCCATGACTGAACGTACAGGAACCACAAACAACTTTCATATTCAAACAAGGAACAAGGACAGAGATTGCTATTTTGTATAATGATCGCTCTGACCTTGAGAATCACCATGTAAGTGTAACTTATTGACTTATGCAAGAAAAACTGAATGTCTTGATAAATTTATCCAAAGATGACTTGGAGGGTCATTTCCAGCAAATTAAAAATATAAGAAATAGTTTGCAGCAGCCTGAAGGGATTGACAAAGCCAAAACCATGTCCCAGATTCTCCATACAGCAGACATCAGCAACCTAGCCAAATCCTGGAGGCTGCACCACGGGTGGACCATGGCCCTGATGAAGGAGTTTTTCCTACAGGGAGATGAAGCTGAATTAGAGCTTCCATTTTCCCCACTTTGTGATCAGAAGTCAACATATCGGTGGCCTACTCACAAATAGATTTCATTGATTTTGTAGTAGAGCCAACATTTTCTCTTCTGACAGAATCAACAGAGAAAATTATTATTGCTCTTCTAGAGGACGCCTTAAAAGCAGAAACTTCTTCCTATGGGGCATGCAGACTATCCAGTAAGATAGGCCCCATGAACAATGGAACCTATCTCCAGGACTCCTCCCTTCAAAGTGTGGACCTGAAGAGCTTCAAAACAACCTGGTGGACATCAACCAGCAGAACAGAGGTGGAAATAATAAAGCAAGTATATAGCATGAAAAAATGTGTATGTAATTCCTCTATTTTTGTGTGAAGCTCGTCCTGAAGAACCCAGACTCACCAGGGCAGATGGAGTCCTGGGATCATCAGTGTCTATGACCCTGATTCTATCAGCTGAGGCGAGGTGACTGCAGCCCCTGGGGGCGATGAGGGGCTGGAAACAGAGCTGAGTCTGGGGACTCCATCCCGGGAGCAATGAGCATTGACCCCCCTATACTGAATTTTATTGTTGTTAACAACCATTTGATCAATAAATATGAGAGATGCCCTCTCAAAAAAAAAAAAAAAACTGTTTCTCCCACTTGATATCAAAGCCCATTGAAGTTGGATTGCAAACATGAACTGCTTTTGTCTGCTAAAGTTTAATGTTTCTGATAGGCACAGTTCTGATTGATTGCTGTTGAAACTCCTGAGCGGAATGTCAAACCTGGGAAATTAACTCTTAAATGGACTTAAGAGACAAAAGGCCATGTATCCTTGAACATAATCCATATCTAAGAGACTGCAAAAGAAAACAGAAGAGCCAGTATTAAATGCATGATGACATGACTGATCCTTGTTCCGTTTGGAAG